CGGTTACATTCGTAGCGTTGTAGGTTCACGACTTTGTCCTCACGCCAGAGTTCTATATAGTCCATATGACGCCCTTCGTGTCCCTCGAGGACTTCAAGTACAGCAAGCAGGCCCCTGGGCTCCTCATGAGGTGACCCTACTCGGACGCTGCTGCCTGGATGGGCATCGTAGGTTCCACCCACAACTGCCGAGCCGATTGGTGATCATCCCTAGGGACGGTGGCGGCCCGGTGAGTTGATGATGATGAAGAATATCGTAAGCAGTATTACGTACACCACTAGGTTCGCGAATGTGATATACAAGCCTGCCATATATTCCACTTTGCACATTGTGAGGAGAGGAGGGAAGGAGGAGAGGTCGTTATTGAGGTCTCGGCTCTGTGCTTACCAGAAGAGTTCACTATGGAATTCAAAGACAAGTTATTCCTTTCTAATTCCAACGACGCCCCTGGTGAGTTTGCTTGATAGCTTCTACTTAGTGTACCGTGATTGAAAACATAGCAGAGAAGCTCGTTCAACCCGAACCACACAGTAAGGGGAGTTTTGTAAGAATAGTAACTGTAAAAACTAATACGAAACAGTTTTTTAATAGAATCTATAGTTTTTTTCAACCACCATAATTGTAGAAAGCTTTTTTGAGAACAGTTCTGATGGTCGTCGTGATGAGGCTGTGAACATGAAAGTGAAAATCTTATGTGCCGGGTTTCGGACGGATTCACATTGGTCTTTGAAGAAACGTGTTAGGCGTATCGCCTTGAGTTGACTATACGTGTTGTATGCTCAGGTCAAATGTACAACTTCTCGTTGAGGTTCTCTCCTGGTGAGAATTCAATAGCCGTCGAGACCAACCGACTGGGCGGGAGGGCCTGTGGGGAGTTCCCGACTGTGCATCCACTGAGTCATGTAGCCCCAGGTAGGAGGGGGGGAGGAAGAGGGTGAACTTCTCCTTGCAGCATCGAATCGGTACATCTACTTAATGGGTAACACTAGCAAGAGGATTCCATTTACTTCTATTATCAAGATGGATAGGCAGAAGCCTGTAAGTCGGTTACATTGGAGTTTCTCCAAACACTTTGAAGTGAAGTGGCGTAATACTCTGTGAAAAACTCGATATTTGCGGTGATATGCAGTAGTCGTGGAATATATTTTTCACTAGTGTTTTTCATATCACTAGCGTGAAACTCCGATATACTTTCCTATTGTTGATAACCTCATACCAGTTTGATAGTATCAGATCGTTCCTGTGTGAATGAGGGAATCACCCTCGAGACTCGATGCTTTTGTGGTGATTAGAAACTGCAGTGCTGGAGTAGGAATGTTAGTTCGCTTTCCTCAGCTGAGCTTAGGATATCCTCACTACTCTATGCCAGGGTGGTCAGTTATGCACATAAACGACTACATGTATCAGTGGCAGTATGAAAATTCAGATGGTTTCTGTACATCTCTACCGGGGTTCCTATGATGCTCTACTACTTTGAAATTGTTCAACTCAGGAAAGTCCGATAGGCATTTGGATAAGCCCTTCGGGGTGTACAGTTGGCGAACCGGTCTTCTGTCCAAGAATCGGAACGAAAGGTAGAGTGCCGCGTAGTCCAGCGGAAGAAGATGATGGATATCTTGTTGTAGGTCGCGAGTTCGATCCCTGGTTGTTCCATTTTGCGGTTTTTTCCAGGTACAGGTTTATGACTCGGCAAAGCACTCCACTTACTTCGTCCTACTGGATGCGATGCATGTCTCTGAAGGGCCCGTCTGTGAGGTGAGGGGGGGGGGTGCTTTCGAACCTGCCACAGGAATTTTATCCGACTTGAGAAACATAAGGCGTTGCAGATTAGTAGAACAGATCATTTCCTAGTCCCCCTTTTCGCGAACTGTTCCCGATGAAAGTGAGCAATACTACAACTCCTTGGGAGTGCTGATAATTATTCGCCACATATTCGCCGAATTTGCCGAGAATTTTCCTACTCGATAGAAATGCTCGCACTGTAGTGCCTTTTATGCATCATGCAACAGGCATGAACAGTTAGCACATTGTTTTGGTGAACTTTGGTGGGGTGTTCAGCGTGATTGTTGTCCTTGCTGTTACAGTTACATACCAATACCTTCATCACCAATGGGTTCCATGGAACATGGTCGGATGAGCTGATAGGCTTGGGAGAGTCTACAAGTGGGAAACTGTGATCCCTATTCTGATTGTGTTTTGGTCTTTCCTCTCATCCACGTGTTTTGTTACATCGTGTTGGGATGCACTTTTGAATTTTCTGTGAAATGTAGTTGCTTGTATAACGAGCACTGAATTTGTAGTGTTCCGTTGGTGCGGATGTCAAATTGGCTGCGTCGGGCAAGAGCACTTCGTCAGCAGGCGACGCCTCGGTTTTCGGCCTCGACTGCGGTCATTCCAAGAACTGATAAAAAGCAGGCAGCCACATTTCAATGGCCGTTCATTCATCGCAAGTCGATTACCAATGGCATACAGAAG